CCTCTGGATTATCCTTTCTCTTTCCAGAATAGTGGGCCTGTGCTGGCTGAGGAGCAGCATAGTGTTCACCCTGGCCTGCCTTGAGAATCCTTCGTTATCCCTTCTGCAGAGTCTTTCCATGCTGGGGTTCACCCTGTTTGGGAATGTAGGCTGGAAATGGAAGCGCTGGTGTTGTGCTGCTAGATTCAGCCAGTATGTTTCATTTTTATAGCAACTTTTTTCCATCCAAGGATCTCAGCACATTTACTGATATCAGTTAATTTAACTTTATAACATCCCAGTGCATAAGTGCTGTTATCCCCATTTTAAAGACAGGTAAACTGAGGTATGGCTAGATTCATCTAGTTGAGTAAGGAAGTCTGTGATGAAAAGAACTTAGATTTTATGACCCCCCAACCTTATGCCTTAACTGCAAGATCTCAGAGACCCCTGTTCTACTTAGACAATCCAGTCCAGAATGTGCTATATAAAAAGTATTGAAATTCCACTTCAGCACATTTGCTGTGGTTTTGCTCCATCACACTAACATTATGTAGGAATAAAAAAATATTATGGAAACTCTAGAGTGCCGTGCAACTCATTCAACGTTGTTTGTTACTTGGGTTGTTAAAACTCATTTTACTTTTTTAAAGCCTTTAATGTTCCTGTGAGGCTGCATGTTGAATTGCAAATATGGAAAACGATGTAGGGTCACTTTAACCCCATTATTATTGTTGTCATTCATAAAGTCGGGCTGGTTGCATAATGCTAACTTAATGAATATTTGTTACCCTTCTGACATGCCTCCAGTCTCACAGGTCATGCTCCTTGAATGGCTTGTTAAGAAAATCATGGTTTTTTTTCTTTTAATAATTACCCAGTGTTTATGGGGTGCACAGTTTGTCTGTAGAGGGCTCTGCAGTTTTCTCTATATGGAAGTGCATCGTACATTCATAGGGAACACAAGTAGTTAAATGATGTAAAACAGGCTTGAAAATGAATTGTGAATAGTAGGCCTCTCCAGCTGTCTGACCAGTATCTGTCCCTTGCAGCAGAATGTTCACTAGTGGTAATGCGTCATCTATAAGTATGGCATAGATGAGTTAAACTACATGGTGGATCCTAGGGTGACCAGGTTTCTGGTTTTAAACCGGAACACACGGTCAAAAAGGGATCCTAGTGGCTCTGGTCAGCACCACTGACTAGGCTGTTGAGTGTCCGGTTAGCAGTAGGGTCTGTTAGATTTCCTGCTAGCCACTGTGCTGTGTGGCTCCTATGAAGCAGCTGACATGTCCCCCCTCCCCCAGCTTGTAAGTGTAGGGGTTCAGCATACTGCTCCCACTGCAAGCACCGCCGGCACAGCCCCCATTGACTGGGAACCATGGCCAATAGGAGCTGAGGGGGCAACATCTGTGGACAGGGCAGCATACACGGCAGAGCTGCCTGGCTGCACTTCAGTGTAGAATCTGGTGGGGGTCATGACACTGCTTTCAGGAGCTGCTTGAGGTTAGCCTCCCTTGGAGCCTGCACCCTGATCCCCTCCCATGTCCTGACCCCCTGTCCCAGCCCTGATCCCCCTCCTGCCCTCTGAACCCCTCAGTCCCAGCCCAGAGCTCCCTCCTGCATTCCAAATCCCTCATCCCTGGCCTCACATTAGAGTCCTTGCCCCACCCTGGAGCCCACACCCGAGCTGGACTCCTCACCCCCTCTCATACCCAAGCCCCCTGAGCTAGCCCAGTGAAAATGAGGGAGGGAGAGAAAAGTGATCGATATAGGGAGGAGGATAGAGTGAGCGAGCTGCAGGGCCTTAGAGAATGGACGGGGCAGGGGTGCGGGTGTTTGGTTTTGTGCGACTTTAAAGTTGGCAGTCCTATGGATCACAACACTTACAGCCATGCTTCTGTAGCCAGCTCACCGCACTCACCTGGTTACAAAATGCATGCTTATGTCCCCAAAACAGCGCTCGCTTGCTCACTCGCTCACTCACACACACTCCTACCTTAGTCATTGGAGACCAGGATGGTGCCTTGGCTGTATCCTCTCATAGAAAAAATAGCTGACCTATTTTCCTTTCTGGATAGGCTCTTAGTATTTATATCATGGACTGTGCAAGTGTGAACCTAGGAATCTTATTGAACACACCATTACCAAGCAAAGGAGTAGAGCTCCATGTATCTGTTTTAAGAAAGTAATTTCATCATAATTCTTGAAGGAATCGTTCACCATAGGGAAGATACAGAAAGCCAAAGGAAGTGATAGTGTGGATACTTGGAATGTTCCATACTCAATGAGAGAACCCCCGTTGTCTCTGCCATATAAAGCCCCTAATGTTATAGGCAAAAGTCAAACCCCTCAGAGTGTAACTTAAATTGAGGAAAAAGCATGAGCTCATAAAAGCAGCTATTTACTGTACAGTGGACAGAAGAAACCATACACCAGACTCCTCATTAAAATCAACCTACATTATTTTATCTATAGAAAAATAGAGATCTAAAAGAATGAAAATCAAATAGAACAGTACCTTTCATTGCCTTAATTATGCGTGGTATTACTGGGATTGATTTCAAAACAAAACAAAAACCAAAAGGAAATATTTGTTCAACAAGGAAAACTGAGGTTGGAAAAGTAGGAACTTAAGTATTTGCATAGAGAAGCTGAGAATTAAAGTTGTCATTTTTAACCCCTATACAACTATGGAAGCAAAGCAGTCATGACTATAAGTGAGGGCTAAAGCTCCACCCAACCTGAAAGGAAAAACAAATATTGCACTTCAATCTGCTGGTACTACATCAGTTAAGTTAATCTTTTGAGAAACAATTCCATTCTGTACTTCAAGAAAAAAAATTACAGGGAGGATTAACATAGTGATAGTTTGGGATGGAACAGATATTTTGAGACCAGTCCAATGGAGAAATCTGACATCTCCTGTTGTGATTGTGACAAACTGGAGAAGGTATTTCTATAAGGATGATTAGACAGATGGGAGGAAAGAAGAGCAATGAAGCAAGATCACAGAGGGAAAAGACCTGCATGTTGCAAGACTGGCTCTTGTAAATATATGCTACAGAATGATAACCTTCTATGCTTTTAGGACAGCTTTCATTCCAACTACAGATTGGCTGTTCATTTGCAGAGCCCAAGTTTTTGTTTCCACCCTTTATAAAACAATATGCAGCATAAGTTACCTTGAAAAATAACTGGCAATGGCCAAGTTGGTGATAACTTCGTTAAAATACTATATATAGGAAGAAAAAGTCCCAGGTACAGTGTTTTGTCAGCTGCCAGACCTGGGGATGAAAGTCAGTGGGCCTACTTGGAGTAATGTGCAACTCAGAATGAATAAAGGTGACAGAACCAGGTCCTTGAGGTATATTCCTCAGAATGAATGAGCCTCTCTGCAAAACACTTTGCCTAAATTTCATATCCTGTCATATGAGAGATTAGTAAGTAACATATGTTGAAAAGGAGATTTCTACTTCTGGAGATAGTAGAAGGATGTTTGTCTTCCTGAGCCTTGCACCAGTCTGCATTGCTAGCTAATGTAATATCTCTGCACAGAACACACATTTCTTTATTGAATGTTTACACACTGAAAAGGGGGTAGATTTAGGAAACTGAACTCTAGAGTTACCATTCAAGTAAACCATCCGCATACTTTTCTTTGTGGATGAAAGTAAACTGGTTGTGAAAGCCTCGAGACTTTTAACATTTTGGGATGACCTGCCAAAAGGTGTGTATTCGGATTTGAGGAATTTCCGGTTAATGCTATCAGAGGATCGGAGAGAAACATGCCTTCCTCTAGGTTTTGTTTTGGCTTGTACC